GCATAGATATGGAAATGATTTTATCCCATTGGCATGTAAGTGTAATATATAATCTCAAGTGATTAAATTAATTATAAGATTCCTGAAACTTCAGATTTATGCCTCCATTTGTCTTTTCCAGATGTTGGTAGTTTTGGAACTGCAAAGCAATTTGTAAAGCAAAGTTTTGCTGTCCTGACATAATAGCCTTATGCCACTACCTCACAGGCCTGCCAGGACACTTAATTAGACTGCTACATTCATCAGAGAGCTGGGGAGAACAAATATGTCAATCATGAACTGGCTAAATTCCTTGAGAGATGCAGCAGGAACTCCTCTGTGCCAAGCCTAGTCACAATATCAAAGGCCCTTTCATGCCAGTGACAAGTTCCATTGTATTGTACACTTGGAAAACAGACACAACAGTTATGGATTCACAGGGTTTCAACCCAGACTAACACACGTAGGACTTTTTTGCCAGCTAATTTCATCTAGACATCAAACAGATCAGAAGCAACCCAATTCAATATGTTTTCCAGAGCAAATTAGCATGTGTGTCATTGTTTTGTGGTCATTTCATTCACCGCTTCCACTCATGAATGTTGGCCTGGGCATAAGAGACATCCACACAAATTGAAATTGAAATTATTTTGCTTATTAAGGAACAAAGCTTGTGTTATACCTTTGCCCATTTCTGCGTGTTTTGCAGGGAAACAAGGCGTTTGTTGGAGAGACTGGTATACGTCCCTTCTCAAGAGTTCCCAGTGACAGTGGTGCAGGTGGCCAGCTGGTACCTCCTCAGACACTTGCATGCCAAAGATGACCAGGAGCTATTGAACGTGAGCACACAGCTGCCTTACACCTGCACTGGCACCAGTTCGAATAATGTTTGTGGCAAACATATAGTATATTTTTATTTAATACCAATACCTATTTCCACTTGTGACTTCTGTGTAAACCGCACATACAGTGAAACTGAAACTAGACAAACTTATGTTCTTCCTTCGGTTTAACTTTGATAGTGAATATATTTTCTCATCTCTTTTGCAGGTCCTCTTGCAACATGCCAAAAAGCATGGAGATCAAAGACTGCTGAAGTTTCATTCACACTTTGCCTCTTCATCTTGAATTTGGTCTACAACTGCATCACTATGAAATCATGCAGCTTAGCCACAGGCCTAATTCATCACCGATTCAGGTTTTCTAGGCCTCTTCACTAAGTATGAAATCATATCAAACTGGACATTATGGGTCTCATATCATAATTGTAACATTTATTAGCTTTACATGATTCTTTGGTTTTATATAATGCAGCATTCAGAAAAAATAATAATTAAAAATAATAATAATAAAAATAAATTCAGTAAATCTAAATCATGAACGTTATTACATATTATTTCAGATTGTACTTAACATACATTTTCATAAAGCAACCAATGTCAACATTCAGGCTGAAATAAAGGCATTGTGCTCAATCTATAGACTGTCTCATCTTGATTGTACATAATCCTAAGGCACGCTGATCTGTCAATACAACCTGAATGGATTATAAATTGGAACATTATAGTATAGTGTCCATCAACAGTACTTCAGTTTATACAAAAGGACTTTACAGATATACAGAGATCCTTAAGACATGTTTGGCTGTGACTGTTATAACATGTGCTAGTTACAATTACAGGTGCTCATTTATAAAAGAAGAAAAAAGAAGAAGAAACAGAAACTTCCCATTACCAAAATACAATTACACCCTGAGCTCAGAATTTTTTGTCTTTAGTTAAATTCAACTTTGGTTTTGCCTTTACCACATAAGACTGGTGTAAGGATGTGGATACTCGCTCCATTTGTTTCACAACAGCACAGTTTTTCAGGGCTTTGCTCCTTCTCAGAATCTAACTGGACAGACATGCTTGGTCATGAGAGCGCAGACGTTCTCCCCACAGCCCCAGCAAGGTTGCTGGATGTGTGGAGAACTCTGTGGGGTCTTTCTCCTGCACACTGAGCACACATCCGCAGCAACACCACCAGCATTCGAGGCTGCACCCCAATCGCTGCCCTGATTTTGTGGACTATCAGCTAAAAGCTGTTGAAGTTCTGTTAGTACATTTTGAGCTGCCCTTGCAATGCCCACGACTTTAATATTTTTGGGGTCAAACACACAATCCTCCTCTAGGCCGCTGGGCACGGCGATCATACCACAATTTGGAGGCACCCAAGCTGTGTCGTAGCCATGCGAGTTCCAGGTGTACTGCATAGGATGGTTGTCTTTGTCAATGCGCTTGACACGGCCAACACGCACACGTAACTCCAGGGCCACGCGGTCTGAAGGGTTACTTTTTAATGGATAACGTTCTGCCTTCTTCCTGTCACGACTGACATACACGCCTTTTCCCAGCATGCCACCCGAAGACTGCCGAAAACCATTGGTAATGATGAGCCGTGCATTGGCGATGCTGGTGCCATGGTACATGGTGTAGATCCCACGGTCTTTGGGCTCCTGAGATGCCCCCAGCTCCACACGAGGAGAGTCATCATCATAGCTCACCTCCCAACCATAGAACGGCAGTGACATCCTGCTTTAACTGTTGAAGATCAACTCTGTGAGGAATGAATACAAAAATAGCATCCTGTTATAATAGATTTAGGATCAGTGTAGCTTTCTTTAATGGACATGGTGTCATTTGGTAAGTTGCACTAAATGATGTGTCCCAGTTAGGCCTTACAACTATATTGCAATAAACATGTTTATATTCAATCACAAACTACATTTTGATAAGTGTTAACAAAAGTTACCTCCATATTTAGATACACAGTCTTATTATTTTTTTTGGATAGTTGTGTTCAGTGGAAACTATGGTGTAGTCTGGCAAAAGGTATATTAAAAAATAAGCTGTCATAAAATGCCATAAAAACATTTGCAATGGCAACCTGACATTCCTAACAGATGTTTTAAACATGAAGAAGTAGGGTAAACACAGGTCTGCACAATGATATTAATTCAATCTCTGTTCCATTTAGTGTAACAGAGCCTTTCCACTGAGCTAACATGTACTATAGCAGCACCCTGACTCGGTTTGACAAGAATGGACCGAAGCCTTAACTAAAAGCATTGGTAACACCTGTGTTTACCCTACTGTTTTATGTCAAAATGCCTGCAGTGAAAAAAGTCGTCACCAAAATCTGGTGTCAGATCAACGGCTCTATTTAACCTTAGCTATTTCCTTAGCTACCGCGAGCTATCCCCTAGACTTAACGTTACGTAGCCTAAGGTAACAGCAGTCCGATTTTAGGAAAGGCTATTCTTAAAACCACAACTCAAACAATCAAAAGCGATCAATATCAGTTTTAATAGCTGAAAACCGAACTAACTCTAAAGCTTATATTACATCACATCACATTACTGTGTATTGCGACACTTATGTAACGTTAAGTCTTTTAAAGGTGATAAAACGACTGACTTTAACTTATTTTCATATTGTGAGTAATGTACTGGTCATCTTCTCTAAATCTAACTATAATCTATACATTTAAACTTAAGACTAGTAACCAAACCTTACTGTCGGTGTAGAGTCGGTTTCTCTTCCAGCCGCTATAACTTTCACTTTCTTTTCAGCGGATTTAACAAAATATGCCTATCCACCCGCAACGACTTCCGTACTCCTTAAAAGGGTGAACATGAGTATACTCATATATTGATTTACTCAGGTTTCTTGCCTGCACACCATGGCCGGTTAGCTCAGTTGGTTAGAGCGTGGTGCTAATAACGCCAAGGTCGCGGGTTCGATCCCCGTACGGGCCACTAAATCTTTTTTCTTTTTTTTTTTTTTTTTTAAACTCCTGTCGTTCAATTGGCCATGAGTACCACAAGCTCTTTTGAAAGTATTTCCCTTTAAAGATGCTTACACTTTACATTTGATGTCCCCAGCTAAAGGAAGAATAGATTATTTTAACTATTTTTGGAAGTTGGAATAATAGGGCTCTTATTGTCTAAATTATATCTATTATATATGATCCTAGTTTGATCCTTGGTTGATTATGAAGAAAAATCACTCAGAGAGTAAAATATAAATATAAAAATATATAGGCTATTTAATATATATAATGTGCATCAATTGTGGGGGTCCTTGAAATTAAAAAAAAGTCTGCAAACCCCTAAATTAGAAAAAGGAGGCTAGATTGACAACTGTGAAACGGCCACTGTCCCCAGGGTCTTCCACAAGCCCCAGGTACACTGTGCTTCACTTGGTTTTAGTAATATGATCATTTTAACAGTAAATTGTGAATATCTACTACTAGTTGACATGATAAAGACCTTAAGGTGCATATTCCTACATTAGTTTTTGTGTTTAATCATATTACGACACAGCAAATGTGGTGCCAGGTAGTATTATAACAGAGGAATACTGTATTAAGTGCACAGAGACGGGGGGATGGGGTGTATGCCCAGAAGCTAATTTTATGGCCCCTGTAAGCAGGTTAATCCAGTCATTGTGATAATGTGGTGAGAAACGCCAAGTGAAAAACCCAGTGGAGTGTGCCACAAGAAGCTGCCTCCTTTTTCATTCTTTCATAATGTGTATACAGGAGTTGTTAAAATGTGCTACACCAATTGCTCTTCCCTTTGAAATCAGACTACAGAGGTTTCTGTCATGTACTTTGGAAAATCCTTTTTATTTTTGTATCAGCCTGAAAAAAATTAAGACCCTCATATCTTCAGCTTAACTTCAGAATGCAGCCGTCAGGTCTATCTCCCTGTAGCACACTTGAGTAACTTGAGTACACTAAAATATTTCTGTACTGGCTGTTAACTTTGATTGTGAACGTGTTCCCTCGTCTTTTTTGCATGCCATTTTGGAACCTGCCAAAATAAATGTTTTATTCATCGCTTACTAGTCTTCACCATCCTGAATTTTGGAACAGTGATAGTGTGAAATGATGACACTATGGGTTTATCTGAAGGCTGAAGACATCCCTGCTAAAACAGTCTCTCTACTAATTATAGAAGCACATCAAACTGCACATTGTGGGTCTGATAATATAACAACAACATTTATTGGCTTTTGTTCTGTTACATAATTTAGTATTCAGTAAATTTAAATAATTACAGTAAATCAAAGTCATGAGTGTTATCCATTGACAGTATATGTAAGTATAGGGTATAGGATAGTGTTATCACGTTTTTCGAAATATCCAAGACAGACAGGAGTAAGTCGATGTAAAAGAAGATACAACTTTTGTAGATCACTTACAGAGATCCCCCCAAAACATGTCCTGCAGTAAATTAATTGAACATATTCATTGCTTTAAGGAAGGATAAGACTGAGACTATGAGTCATGTTTACAAATGATATGATTGAACCCTGAGTTACTAACTATTGTTCTAATCTACTCCAGCATATGCAAAGGCCATATTGACGCAGATTATTTTAGCATCACTCTCCGACATTTCAAACTTTCTTCTTCCCTCCCCCCGGTCCGGGTTTGGCTGGACAGAAATGCTGGATCATGAGAATGCAGATGTTTTTCCCACAGTCCCAGCACTGTTGCTTGATGTGTGGAGAACCCTGCTGGGTCTTTCTCTTGCACAGTGAACACACAGCAGCAGCAGCAGCAGCAGTGGCATCACCTCCTCCTTCGGGTTTTTTGGATGTTTTTGCCAGAAGCTGCTCAAGTTCAGCCTGTATGGTGGGGTTTGGCGCGTTTGCAATGCCTACCACTTCCACTCTTTTGGGGTCAAACACACAGTCCTCCTCCAGGCCCAGCACATTGGGGGGCATCCAGGCAGTGTCATAGCCATTTGCGTGCCAGGTGAATTGCATAGGATGGTTCAACGGGTCAATACGCTTGACACGACCGGGACGCACACGTAACTGAAAGATCACACGATCTGTATTCTGACAGTTCAATGGATAACGAGCCGCCTTTTGCTTATCACGACTGACATACACACCTACTCCAAGATTGCCACCTGTTGACTGCTTAAAACCATTGGCAATGATGAGCCGTGCGCTGGTCACACTGGTCCCATGGAACATAGTGTAGACGCCCCGTTGTTGGGGTTTCTGGGAGGGCGTCAGCTCCACACCAGGAAAGGAAGCACCATCGTCGACCACCTCCCAGCCAGAGAACTGCAATGGCATCCTGATTTAGGAATGTGACTGATAGAGGATGCAAAGATCTGCAACTCTGTGAGAAATAAACAACAAGAACATAACAAGGTTAGGCCTATATATAAATGTTACACACTGGACCTACAACAGAGGCAAATAAAAGCCGCATAACTATTTGGTCTGTCTGTGTGTGTCCGGAAATTATATAAGTCAAATAAAACTCTATAGCCTACCTTTAGAAACACAGGGCGACAGCACAGCCTAAACACCATACATTATCATACAGCCTACATTATGACATACTCCTGTTGTTATTAAAACATTTCAATCTTACCGTCGGTGAGGAGTTTCCTTCTCTGCCCGTTCCGTAACTTTTACTTTCTGTTCAGTATCTCTGTATCCAAAGTTTTGATTGTGTCACGTGACCGAATTTGTATGGCCGGTTAGCTCAGTTGGTTAGAGCGTGGTGCTAATAACGCCAAGGTCGCGGGTTCGATCCCCGTACGGGCCATGACTTCCTTTTCCACTTTGGCTTTTACAACGTCTTCCTGTGATATTACAGTGACATAGAGTATGTTCCAGACGATGTCAATAAAAGTTAGCCTTTCCCCTGAAACATCCATGTATTCTACTCAACACTAGCTGCTCTCCTCTTACACCTGCAGTAACTGATTTGTGGCTATGGAAATGACTTGTGAACATATAATTAGTTTTAACTTGATATGGCAAACTAATAGCAATTAAATGAAAAGCTGTTGCTTGAACAAATCCAGCACTTATAAAGCAACATTATTGTTCATTTGGAGTCGAGGTTCTGGCCACTTGGCAAATATAAGTCCAATATTCTCTCCTTAGCTGTTTTCGGTCTCTGCCAACTCCTGGGGGAAATATCTGGCTCTTTAACTGCTGAATGCTCCTCTGTGATCTCCAGCTTGTCACTGTGTCTGTTTGCCGTTTGGTGCCAAGCAAGCACTATGGGTTTTTACAGTTTTTCCTGCAGTAAATATCTGCCTGCTGCTACCAAAAACTACGCTGAGAGAGCGTTGAGAGTGAATCTAAATAGTGAAGTTGAAACTGTATAAGCAGAGAGGAGCTAGCTACATATTTGTGATTATTCCTGCAGGTTCTTCACCTAAAGGTCCAATGTGTAGGATTTAGTGGCAACTAGCAGTATAGTTCGGATTGCAACTCCCTGCTTCACCCTCCCCTTCCAATTTCAAAGTTTGAAAGGGTGGTCGCCAAATGCACGAAAAACTGCCATATCTACAGCTTATTTACAGTCAGTGTTTGGTTTGTCCGTTTTCAGCTACTGTAGAAATATGTTAGTTCAACATGGTGACAGTTCATTCTTAAGGTAACAAAAACATGTTTCATATTTTCAGGTGATTATACACAAATGAAAACATATATATATTATATTATAATTAATATCTAACAATAGATCCTCCTAAATGTTACACACTGGACTTTTAATCTAAAGGTCAATAGTTCAATCCCAGATTGAGGTCTTTTCCTACAAAAACTGAACGTACTGATTTATAGCTCCATTGTGGCAGGATGATTAAACACATTCATATTCACAAATAGTGATTTGCCTTTGACCTCCAGATTAGATTTTAGGATATATATCTTAGTGCACTTGTAGACTGTTACAGCAATACACTCCTTTGAAACAGGGCGCTACACTGTAACAAAATTACCTTAAAATTTACAGTAACTTACTGGCAACAATTAACCAGCAAGCTACTGTAAATATGTTTTACAGTAGACATACTGTACTGACAAGTCCAGACAATCAGTTATTAAATAATGATAACCTGATTGTGAACATATTCCTTCCTCTTTTTTTTTGCATGTCATTTTGGAACCAGCCAAAATGAAAGCTTACTACTATTCAGCTTCATTTTGTATCAACAAAAGTATGAAACTATGGCTTTATTTGAAGGCATTCCTACTAAATGAGTTTCTTCACTAAATATGGAATCATATCAAACTGGACAGTATGGGTCTGATAATATAATATTTATTGGCTTTAGTCCTGTTACATAACTTAGTATTCAGTAAGTTTATATACTTTGAGTAAATCAAAATCATTAGTGCTAACACATATATTTTAACCAGGATCAAGTGATCATAATGCATGCTGATCAGAGAATATAAAGCTAGTGCAGACACATAACAGCTGAGTGTATTACTTAACTTGACAAACCAAGTTCAAACCAAAACATCATAAACTTCATAGTTTACTAGAAAGCTAGTGTCAAATCATTAACAAGATTTTGTAGTGATAAAGTTTGTACCACGTATAGAGATCCCCCAAAACATGTCCAGCAGTAAAGTAATTGAACATGTAGCACCAATTATAATTATTGCTTTAAGGAAGACTGAGACTATGAGTAATGTTTACAAATTATATGATTGAACCCTGAGTTATCATCATTATTATTATTGTTCTAATCTACTCCAGCACATGCAATGGCCATGTTGTTGTGGATCATCTTAGCATCACTCTCCGATATTTCAAACTTTCTTCTTCCCTCCCCCCTGTACGGGTTTGGCTGTACAGAAATGCTTGGACATGAGAATACAGATGTTTTTCCCACAGTCCCAGCACTGTTGCTTGATGTGTGGAGAACCCTTCTGGGTCTTTCTCTTGCACAGTGAACACACAGCAGCAGCACCATCGCCTCCTCCTCTGGATTTTTTGGATGATTTTGCCAGAAGCTGCTCAAATTCTTTCTGTATGGTGGCGTTTGGTGCTTTTGCAATGCCTACCACCTCCACTCTTTTAGGGTCAAACACACAGTCCTCCTCCATGCCACTGGGCACGGCTTTGAGGCCACAATTGGGGGGAACCCAGGCAGTGTCATAGCCATTTGCATGCCAGGTGAACTGCATAGGATGGTTATCTTTGTCAATACGCTTGACACGACCGGGACGCACACGTAACTGAAAGATCACACGGTCTGTAACCTGACTGTTCAATGGATAATGAGCCGCCTTTTGCTTATCACGACTGACATACACACCCTGTCCCAGCATGCCACGTGATGACTGTTTAAAACCACTGGTAAGGATGAGCCGTGCACAAGCAACACTTGTCCCATGGTACATAGTGTAGACGCCCCGTTTTTGGGGTTTCTGGGAAGGCGTCAGCTCCACACCAAGAAAGGAAGCACCATCGTCGACCACCTCCCAGCCAGAGAACTGCACTGACATCCTGATTTAGGAGTGTGACTGATAGAGGTTGCAAAGATCTGCAACTCTGTGAGAAATGAATACAGAAATGTGACACCATGTTATAGCACATGTAAGAGCAATCAGGGTTTAACATTTACTTAACACATAGCCATTGGTTAGTTTTTAAATGTTATTTATATGCCTCCAGGAGGGACCCCACCCCCAGTTTGTGAAACACTGGCCTAGATAATAACTTATATAGCCATAGCCGCCCCGTCTGTTTACGTGTCAGAAAACTTTAAACTTTTTAGAACACAGGACGGCAGGACAGCCTTAAACACTATCATTATATATTATCGTATACTGTTTTATAACTCGTGTTGGTTGTTTTGTTGTCTTTCTCTGCTAAATCTGGAAAAATAAACAGCTCTCCCTGATTTTAATCTTACCGTCAGTGAAGAGGGGTTTTCTCTGTCAGCTCAATAACTTTCACTTTCTGTTTAAGGTTGGCGACTCTGCTGATGACGTCATGTAGGTGGTTTCCCAAGGCCGGTTAGCTCAGTTGGTTAGAGCGTGGTGCTAATAACGCCAAGGTCGCGGGTTCGATCCCCGTACTGGCCAGCTAAGTTTTAATTGCGATACTCTGCACAGGAACGCTTGTGCCATGAACGAGCAAAGAGTTCTGTACAAGATCCGCTTTTTTGGTCTTACCTTGGTAATAACTGATTTCAATGAAATTAAAATTCCACTTGTAGCTCACAGACCTCTGTTACACATCTAGCACTTATGAGGCAACATATACATTAATTTATACTGCAGGAAATAGGCTGCCTCTTCAGCTGCTTCACTGTGTTCACCAGCTTGTCCCTGTGTCTGTTTGCCATCTGGTGCTGATTTGGGTGATAATTCCTGTTCTTCACTTCAAGGGACCCCTTCACATTGTTTTAACAAAGTCATTTGTTATATTGTTTTGATGACAATGTAGATTAAAGCCACCGAGCGACAATATTACACTCTGAACTAGTATAGTTAAAGGAGGTTAAAGGAGATCTGTGCTGGTGGGCTAATGATGGGTACCGCGAACGATCCCATTTCGCCTGCGCAGTGGTTTCGATTTCGCTTTGAGTATGCGGCGAGCCGTACCGCTGCTTACTTTCTCTCTATGAATAACATCAGTAATACTGTGACTATGACTTTTATAGACGAAACTCACAGTTACAACACTGCTGACATTCAGGCCGAAATAGCTCAGTTGGGAGAGCGTTAGACTGAAGATCTAAAGGTCCCTGGTTCGATCCCGGGTTTCGGCAGAGGACTTTTCGCTTCGCCTTTAACAACGCACTCGCACATCTGATTCACATCAGTGGTAAACAACGACGTTCATTCTGGCTTATAGCGCCCCGTGCTGGTAGGATCGTACTCAGTCATATTGTCACTTGCTTTTCACCTCCAGATTACATTTATCTCCATGTAATCCCCATCCCTGTGCACCTTTACACTGTAATAGGAGTAACCTGTTATCAGCTACTGAAAAGACACTCTTGTATTTATTTGACTCCTTTCTGAATTTGAAACATCTTAAAATAGCAACTATTTAATCATATTATGTAACACAAATAACAACAACAATGATACTAATAAAAATAATAATTTATTGTATACAGTTTTTCTTTTTTAGAAATAAAACATTTCAGGTGTGTGACAATTTTTTAAAAACAATAGTGTTCTCATTTAGTTTTAGAATCAGGTCTAACAAGACTGTGCTTATGTGACAAATCATAAGGAGAAAAAAAAGATAAAGTGGTACACAATTAATCTTTATGCCTTTTTAAATTGAAATTGAAATTTAATTAACCGAAATTAACTGAAATCTGTCACTGACAATGGCAAATATTAATGTCCACAATAATAACAGATGTCTGTAATTAAGTTGCCTAACATTTCACAAAAAGGTACTCTACTTCAAATTTCTAGATGGTTTATCTTATTTCCAAAGAGTGATTAAATTAAATATAGCTATAATCTAAACAGCTGTGGGCTCACTGAACAAAATCAAAAGTGAGGGAAGAATAAACACTGTTACTGACAGGCATGCCTCCTGGTTTGTTTGACTCAAAAACATTGCTTCGGGGTTGGTGTGACAGTAACAAGGGGCTCTTCTTCAGTAAATAATGTCACAAGTCATTGAGCTCTGTCACCTTGCTGCAGATGTGCCTGATATCCTTCTGAAGCTTCTCCTTGTCAAGGCGGGATTTGATGTCACTTATCTGCCTCAGGGACTCAATTGCGTCATGCACAGACAGGAAGCCTGTCCAAAAGAGAAGCAGAGTGTGCAGAGGATCACCAGATACAATGCATTTGAGGTTAAAATTATTCTCTGAATACTGCTGGTGATTGACGTGTTATATTGGTACTGAGTTGGGCTTTTGTGCTTGCACATTGCCTATATAATGTGAGCTTTGTGATAGTCCTTTGGTGTTATAGTAACGGTTAAGTTTCAATCAATTGAATGATGATAGCATGTATATTGCTCTCTCTAATATCGTAGTGGTTTATAATATGTGGATATAATTGTCTATAGTCCTAATCATCAGTTATCATGACTTCATTGTGTAGCTACTGCCTAAAACAGAAAGACGTTTCAATATTGCATGAACTCTAAGAAGTAATATTCAGTGACTGAACTGAAATGTCTCTCTTACTCTTTCTGACTCCCCGCCTTTCTTGCCACGAAAATTTACGACACTCATCAATTATGCATTGCTTTTCTCCCCTCTATTACAGTCTTCTTTTGTCTTTTCTTCCTCTACTTAAAATAGAGCTATGGATGGATGGCTTTCTAGCACTGAGATCGGAGGCTGTGCGATGATTCATAGAGGAGTTTACCCCTGCACTTATTTACTGCCTCTTTTCTATTTGTCTATGCTTTAATAAGAGCTGGAGACTGAGAGGGGTTGACAGAAAGTGGGGAAGGTTTGAGATCTTGTGCCAAGGCTCCTGGGAAATGAGCTTGGCACCGCGGTGAGAAGGAGATGGATGTCAACAGCAGCTTGATGCAGAGCGGAGGTGCTGGATGACTGTGTATTCCTGCTGCTTTTCCTGTGACTTATTAGCATTGAGGGAGCTACATGAAAAAGCTGTAACTCACATGCATCTAATTTAATCTGGTTTAAAATCTTGCTGTATTTATATTAAGATCATGTTAATTAGTGTGTTGCTGGTAGTTTTCTTGAAAGTGGCTTGGTTGGCTCTAGAAATAGCATTTTAATGTGATGTAATTCTGTATGTTGGAAGCAACATGGTTACAAATGTCTCTGTTTGACGAAACCATGTGATGTGTCAGTTAAAAAGCTTCTGAATTAAGCATGTTGCCTCTTGTGTATAGGTCACTCATTATGCTTAATTTAAGATGTCATCACTAAGTCATCCACCACTGTCATTAACTCGGACATTTGTAGGCAAAAGAAATGAACCATATTATTCAAGCAGTCAGGTCACTTCAGTTTATGACTAATTATGAGCAGTCGCCTTCTCATTCTTTCCCTCTCTATTTTTCTCCTCTGTGAAGCGTTTTCATCAGTGCGTTTTTTCCTTGACGTATGGACTCATGTAGTATGTGTTTACTCACTGATGACAGCAAGTTACGGACAGTGATCACCCACCTTTGTCGTATTCCTGTTTGAGCAGCTGCAGCTCCTGATGAAGGTTGCTCTCCACTGAGGTCATTCTTTTACTGAGTTTGGTTTCAGAGCGTTTCAGCTGATCGCCCTGACTACGGTTGGCCCGGCCCAGCTGGGTCTCAAACTGCTCCACACGGGCCTCCAGAGCATGTAGCCGGTCAGCTAATGCAGACGTTGCCTTTAACTGAACACAGAGAACACACACATACAAACACTTACAATATACAGCACGGTAGTTTCTAAATCCTCACACTGCATATGTGACCTGGTCTGAACATTCTTTTAAATCCAGATTCTTAAGGTGCTGCTTGTAACATTGTGAGACATTACTATAGCAGATAGTATTACTATTTTACTACTATTACTGAAACAGGAAGATTGGGCTGTTCATCGGCCAAAAATCAAGCTAAAGATTTGTGCAATGACAAAGAGTAAAGTAATAAAAAGTTGTTTTTATCTTAGAAATGTGGCTTAAAACTGATTAAAAAGTGAATTTATGACAGCCACAACGCATGCGCAAAGGACATATGATGACATTGACAGGTGACTGGTGGAAAGCACTGTTACCTGAATAAAATACCGTTTTTCTCTGAGTTTGAACATTATTGGAAACATTTGGGATAATGTTAGTACACAACCTAACAAAATATATAATGTATAGTGTTTTTAGATGCAGAAATGTTACATATTATAGCTTTAATAACAACACATCAATCATTAAAATGCCTTATGTGGCACCTTGAACAAACCTTTCATTTAACTCACTGTAGCTTTCTCAATTCCACCTAATTATCATTTTTCAAAGTTAAGTACTTTTTTTCTGCTGAGTCACAGCTTAAAAAGTATGACTGCACATCTGAACACCACACTCAAAAAACAGATCCTGAAAACTTGGTTGTAAAGTAAATGCAAAAATATACACATATACTATATTCTGAATGAGGTGTGCGCAATATTACATGCATTTGTTGTTATTTACATCAGTGCATAAACTGTGGGTCAAGCTGACAGCTAAAGTACCATTTTATCATGATGTTGTGTGCAGTGCTGGACTGAGCTGTTAATCTGTTGTTCTGTCCACTTCCTCAGCAAATCTGTCTGCTCCCTGGCTTCCTTCAGCTCATCTGACATCCTGCGAATCCATCAGGAACAGAAAGAAGAGAAATGCAGTCGACTTTCCTCTGAGAATGCAGCCACAGTTGAAATTTTTGGGCATTTTTGTTTGTTTTGGCCATTAGTAGATTAGATTGTATTATAAATGTCTTCAGAATGCATACAGACTGACTAATACCTGGAAACCTGAGCAATGCTTCTTGTAAATTTAGGTCCATTATATGCAGCTCCCTCTTGGCACTACATGGTTCTTGGTGATGGAATAAGAATTTTAATTATAACAAATGTACACTTTATTGGCACCTCCTTGTCTTTGCACTGAGTAAAACGCCTGTGGTGTGAAAGTAGATGTCAATCATAGATCAATAATTGATATTCTGTCTCTTTAATTTAAAAGCAAGCTGCTTCATGTTCAGCCAGCTGAAGCTGTTTGAAAGTCAGTGTTCAGAATTTCTCTCTCTTTGGTAATTAGAAGTGAGACTTCCTCAGCAATAGTGCTTCTTTTTTTGGTTTACTTGATGCCAGCCTCAGCAGGAGGAACACTGTTACTCTGTGGTTGGGTGGTGCTACTTTATGTGCGCTGAGGCGCAGAAACTCACATAACGATAATAGCTAAATGCAATTCTGCATATATGCAAACATAAGCATTCACATGCTTCAAGATGCACATGCGGACTCTGCACCATATTCGTCAAAGTACAGTGAAAACTGCAACCTTGGACATGCCGAGAAAAATACTGTGTGGGCTTTACTAAATTTATCATACACAAAACATATTGGCACTTCAATTCAATTGACCTTTTTTCTAATTCTTCCAAATTCAAGGGATTCTTCCTAAATGAGAAAATTAATGAGGCAAATCAGATTCATTCTACAAATGAATTTAACTCTTCATCTACTACTAGCTACAGGGACTCCTCATTACACCACTCTGGCTGGCTAATCTGGCTAATGTTGTTAAGGCAGGCGTATGCAACACAATAGGACCTGATTTGGGCATTAGATGAGTTTTCAGAATTCATCTGTCTCCATGCAGGTTTATCATTTTCCTATTCTAAGAGGATCCGTGTGCCTCCATTGAATTGCTGCCCCTGTGTTCATCAAACATCTTTTGTCAGTGGCCTTGTACTGCGAGCAGTAGAACAAGCCGAATTGTTGCTCTGGCCAACATCAAGACATAAGTTATAAGATGTCCTTTGACAAAATGGCATTCTGTGGGCGGCTGGCCTTTCTATTGAGTGTGTGTAGTCATCTCAGGAGGATTTTAAAGTTGTGGTCACTATTTTCAAACTTTTATTGAAAAAAATGCACTCGCAAATATACAGGATTTAAAATATATTGGTATATTAGACTTTGGATATTGGGTTTTATTTGTGGAACCCCTTGATTAACAGATGTCTTGTTGCCTGTTTTGAGGCCCTCAATATGGTAGCTAAGTTGCCTTAAAGCATTTGTGATTCTGTGTATCTTAGCCATAAATTAGTTGGTCCAAGCTGTAAGGGTTTTGACTTTTTAAAAAGCCAGGAAGATGCAGAATCTACTGAGCCCCCCCTGTGGACTGAGGGACCCTCTGAAATCAGCTGCTTCAAAACGACTTGGTCCTGCAACGGTAGATGGAAGATATCATATTGGTAGGTATTTGTTGTTTTTTCTTGTCATTATTCTACCTGTGTCAGAAACACAGACAGTATGCTTTTCATCTATTTTTATCTATTGTTCTTTTGTTTCTAACAAGATCAGTGAACTGGTTTCCATTACAGATCTACAATATTACGAAATAGAGCATATTCATCATTCATGTCTCTCTGTTTCTGTTTCCCCGATGGTAAAACTATGTGATTAATTCTGCACATTGCTGCCAATTGAGATTATTTATCAGATGGATTAGTAAATCAATTTAACTAACAGCTTCCTTGTGCCTCGGGCATCAATATTGTGAGATGACAATGGCTCTGAAATGCCCAGCTTGAAACAGCTGTAGAGAGAGTTAGGACTGGATATATTATTTGATAAGCAAATTAGAAACTCGTGGATTTTTCTCTATTATGTGGGTCGGGGCAGAATGAAAAAGGAAACATAGCAAATCAATCACTTTAGAAGCCCTGCCTAAAGGCAAATTAGCCAAGATAATAACGGTGGACTCTGTGTTTACACTGATGATGCTTGGTGCTCAAATGCAGTCAAAGTGGATGGACACTGTTTCTTTTTATGTGAGGATGAAACCATACTATCATCACTACCTTGTTGCTAATTTTTACATTCAGCACTAATCCAAAAGATGCACTGTAGAATTATTTCCTGGGTGTATACATGTATGTGTATAAAAAACTGTATATTGTTTTATTTTATTTTATTCGATTTTATTTATTTATTATTATTATTTTTTTTAATTTTATTTTGTCAATCAATTTGATGATTTTTTCCCCCCCATGTTTGTAGCATGAATGAACCACAGACTTTAATTCCGTTATAAAGCCTTGTGTTGTATAATGATGAATGAACTCATACTTCCCAGTATGGAGAATTCAGGAGAATTTTGAATTACAAAAAACAGAAGCACCACTTTTCAAAAGAAATCGGACCAACAAGGTGTGTTTGGGTTGTGCTTACTCCTTAACAAATCACCTTACTTGCTCTCTAGTAGTTTAACTTGTGTATGCAGATCAGACATGGAACTCCTTTGGCCCTGGGAGTGCTCTGACAATGAGGCCTCCAGTCTCCCCATGTCACGATAAACCTGGAAAAAAGAAAGCACACCAACATATGCTGTTATGTGATGGTAGAGCACCCTTTGGCGCACACTTCCTGATGTGACATTTACCCATTGTGGTTTCTGCTGACTTCGAGCGGATTGAGCCAATGCACCACTCCTGTGGCAAGTCAAGACTGGGAGTAACAGCGGTGACCCACTTTCTCTGCAGTTTCAATTATCTTTATGGTACATGCTTGACCACTGCTCCACAGCTAATGTGCTGTCATCACAATGATTGACCACCGTGTGCCACCAACAGAACTGAGTGCAGGCTGAATCAGTGTGAGTGTGTGTTAAGAGCAGCTGGGGTTAGCTTTAGATTTAGTAAAGTGAAGGAGAGCATTATAACATGTTACATATGTTAGCTAACCCAGGGTTTTAGTTCGATTGTTATACTATAGTCCTTGTAAAGGCCATGAAAGTGGATGAAAGATGTTGACATCCATACCAGTCTCACTCAGCACCAGTAAGCTCCAAAACACCTGCCAAACGGCCAGCCACCCTGTCTAGGATAAACAGCAAAATATATCCCCTGTGTATAGTGTTAGATTATTAATTTCTTCATGCAAGCACCATTTAAATAAATGTAATCCCCCTTTTATACCTAATAAATTCACAAGGAGGATATTATTCCATAATGTGAGACTGGAGTATTCAAAAGAATCCCAGGCTCAACACTGTGTGTGTGTGTGTGTGCGTGTGTGTGTGTGTGTGTGTGTGTGTGTGTGTGTGTGTGTGTGTTAAAATAGGAGTGGTAGGGATTAGTTTAGGATTGTAGATTCTGCTATTTAGTATAATATGGCATAATTCAATAACTATAAGAAGAAGAAGATTAGGAGTCTACAGCCATGGTAATGAGTCTTTAAGTCTGTACTTGACAAAATGGTGCTTTGAGCCAAATGCTAATGCCAGTGTGCTGTTTAACAGGTCTAATTTAGCATGCTAACATTTATATTTAAGTGTACATTATTCTTAGTTTTGTGGATATTTTGGTGATACACCAAATTGAAATGTAATTTTGACCTGATGATGGCACTAGAACAAAACCACAAATGTCAACCTAATAATGAAAAGTGAGGCAATCAACAGAGTTATTAGGAATCATTCTCTGGGAATCACAAATGCCAGAACCAAATGTTGTGGCAATACAAAGAGTAAATCTTTAGATATTTCACAGGACAAGTGAAACCTTTGACCTGCTGGTGGCACAGGCTGAAAAGTTGGCCTATCAGGAAGCGTTTATTCTTTGGGAACAATAAATGTCTATACCAAATTTCATGGCAATCCATCCAAAACAGTTTTCAAGACATGTCTGACCAAAATCTCAAGGCTATCCATTGAATAGTTGTCAAGATATTTCCATCTGGATGTGGTGTACCGACCGACTGACATACATTAACATCCCTAGAGCCATGCTCCTATTATGCTATCATAACAAATATGAATTGTACCATCATAGCTTTGCATTATTACAGATTTCAGAGATAAAGAACTATTTTGATATGTCCAAGTATGTATCAGAGGATTGATTTTAAAGACGTTTTGGCACTGGTGTTTGTCTGCTTTGTATACTGTGTGTACTACTGCTATAAACTGCTGCCATACGTTTTATATGCCAAACCCTTTGTCAGCGTTGATGCGCTGTCTCTCACCTTGACTTCCAGCTCTTTGAGCCATACATCCACAGCTGACCTGAGCTCTGCCACCTCCTGCTGCAGTCTAATCAGCTGCCGCTCCCCAGAGCTCACGTCAGCGCTTAGCTTGGAGATGCTGGCATCACACCTGAGATAATAAGTGGGGAAGAAGAGAGGCACCACTGAATGAGAATAGTGGGGTGGGAGGGAGTTGTGGAAAGGTGTGAAGACGGGGAGATGAGCAAAAGGCTGGAGAAAACAGAGAGGAAGCTCTTTACTGAAGCACCCACAGTTCAGATGGGAGACAAACAGGCAGACAGATGGAAAACAAATCCGACTAATATAGGCCTAAATATTAAATCAGACAGTTGCCCTTATCAATATTTTCCAGGGTAAGCTAATGGAAGCCAAAAGAATTCTCTGCCGAATCCTAAGCAGTGATAGTTTATCCTCTGAATGCTGAACAAACACATTTGAATGTTCCAGTGGACACATGTTTGTATCTGTTGATGAATTAGTGTTAAACACACAGGAAATACACAAAAAACAATCAAATAAGTAAACCGGTTTATGACATTTATCACCAAACATAATCATCAGATAAAAAAATAAAAAACTTCTCTCGGCTCTTGTGCATGCATTATCTTGTTTCTCACATACTCTCTGTTCCGTTTGTGTAATAAAACCACTGGTGCCTGAACTGGGCTGACTGCTGTTATCAGCATGGCAAGAAAGCTTTCTTCCTTCCTATGCTGAATTTAAGATGCCATCACTAGGCCTCTCTCTCTCTGTGTGTGAATGTCAATATAATATTTGTGATAAAATACAATGTAAGCTCTATAATAAATTCCAGCAGCTAATTATGGAGATGCCCAGTGTGAAATTTGTGTTATTTCCCTATAGACCACTACAGCGCTTCCATAAAGGGCTAAACAGAATAATACGGCGTATCAAAAACCACTGGCCCTTAACTTACCTTATAATTTATGACTAATATACAAGAGGTCATTAGACTGAGTAGGTGAGGTTTTTCTACGTCTTTTATTGGACCATAAATTTGCTGTTTGTTGAGTAATAGGCAATATCTTCTCTTCTCTCTATCTTCTCTGACCTCTTGAGCACCATGCAGGAGGCAGGACTGCTGTGAAACAAAATACCACTACATCTTTGATCTACTGTCTGTTGAGAAATCACTTTATCTCAGATGTATTGACAGATGAATTCCAGAGATGTTCAAAAGAGCCACGGTCGCAACACAGCAAAATATCCAATCCTAATGCAAGTCCTGTTAAGCAGATCACTAAAATGACAGCCTCTCTTCAACAATCCAATCTAGCACAATCTGCATTGACACAAAATAATGAGCGAGTGCTAATCAGCATCTAGAGTGTGTTCGAAACCTAGAAACTTCACTCGAAATAATGAATGTGTGCATGTGTGTGTGTGTCTGTGAGGGTGTCAAGAGATGATGCCCCGATGGACTGGAAGTTGTGAGACTGTGAAACGCAGCCAGACAGCACGCAGGCTATGCAATTTCTCTTCATTAGAGGGAGAGAAAACAAATCTATCAGCAAGGAAAGTTAATCAGTCAAAACACTTGTGCATCAGACATGGGTCTAAATAGCTGTACAATTCCTCTAAATAAGAAATGAAAGTTTTAACCTGCTAGCAGCTAGCTTTATTTGCTAACACTCTGTATAGTTTGTACCTCAGTGTTTGGATACATTATTTCACCCAAGCCTGGTGTGCGTACCTGGCTACTCTTCCTCTCAGGTCTCCAATGCCAGCCATGTTCTTCTGGTCCAGGCTTTGAACAGCCTCTGTGGTTCCAGACGTGATGGAGTCCCTCTGGATGATCAGTCTCTCCAGGGCCTGTTCAGCACAAAAATAGCATATTTGTGTATTTTATGTTGAATGGATGGTGGTTTCTTCTTAGCAAGTCCATGTGAAATAAGATGTAGATGCAGAAATATAAAAATAAAGTATTTAGTATGTTTATAAAATAGTTTGTTTGGACCTGGCAAAAAACAAAGGATGGATATGATCATCATTCCTTTTCTGCTGTCAAAATAACGATTATGGCCAAAACTGCCATAATGTCCTTTGTTGAGAAGGGTAACTTAAAACTGCCAGAAATTTCATCACTACCTTTGCATGAATGATCAACCAATAGGATAGGCCGTTCACATGAGTGCAGCGTATCTCTGATAACCCGAGATTAAAGAGACGACCCTCTGGCTTATCATGGGAGCAAACAGTGACTGTGTGATGTTCCTCTCATTTGATTTAGCAGCATATTCACTTCACGGCTTAGCTTATTACTTCTTCATGTGCAGAATTAATGAGCTCTTAGGCATTCATGTAATATTTCAGATAATGACAGCCTCTAATCATGTTAATTGCCCGTTTGGTATGCACTAATGAAGTAATGTGTTTCATTTTTGTGCTCTTTCTATAAGGCAGTTATCAAAGTGTGACTTGATGTTCTGCTCAGTCAAAGATGACTCCAAACACTTTCATTTTCCATGCACTCCAAGTAATTCTTCCAGCTGCTGTTTTTCAGCGGTTGGTGCATAACCCGGCAGTATTTAACTAACCATTGTGTGTACATCATTTTTTTTATTTATTTTTTTGCTTAGGCAGACAAACTGTCCAGGAGCTGACAATGAAGAGGAGTCAGGCAGGCAGTGCTCAGGCGCTGCACCATTCTATCAGGTGTAATCAAATCAGCTGTGAGGTTGTGGGTATGAGTGTGTGTGTGTGTGTGTGTGTGTGTGTGTGTGTGTGTGTGTGTGTGTGTGTGTGTGTGTGTGTGTGTGCGCGCGTCTGGGTGTGTGCTGGACATCAAAACAGATGAGGAGTAGAGGGGAAAGCAGATAAAATAATGATCAGGAAAAGAAGACCCGACAGGAATCCACACAGATGCACAATGACTTTATACACATAATGAGACATTGAAGATATTTTGACAAAAAAAAAAACAAGGCTTGGCAACAGTGCATTAGTATATTTGCATTACAACACCCTCCCTTCTAACCTCTACCTCTACCTCTGTATACCTGTATGTCCATGCTAAGCTGCTTGACAATGCGTGTGATGGTCAGTATGTGATTCTCCAGCAGTTTGCGGGAAAATGCCTCCACCTGGATAGAGCCCTGTGTGGACTGCAGACCTGCTGCCACCTCCTCTTTGATCCTGAAAGCCTGCTCCAGCAGCAAAGCCAGTGTTTTCTCCTGACTGCTCAGACAACCCTTTGAGGCATCAGGACTTAATCAGGAAGCAAACAGAAAAACTAGTTTTTAGTCATAAAATTTTAGAAGCTCATTGTTATTAAAAAAAGTAAAAAATATATATATTTTCGAGCACTGGAGGCACAGGAATACACATTAAAAAAATAGAAAAGAAAGAAAATACTTAAACACTATAATTCAATAAAGAATTCATCCACCCAGAATGAGAAGATGTGCCTTGGTTTTCATACCCTAAGGTCAGTCTCAAGCCAGATCTCTTATTCACTTCATGTCCCTGTGCATGCTGCGTCACCCTGCCTAATGTTACTGCGGATTAAGGATTAATTTCATCATTGTGATTCACAGCGTTGTAAGAAAGGTCGCTGGTGGTTCCCAACCATATTTCCATCCCATCAGTGGAGCAAAATAAAACTTATCTATCTCTCTGACGCAGATTGATTTTATAACTGAATTGTAATTGTTTTTGATGGTTAAAATAAATATAAATATAAAATACAGTAATTTAATAGAAAATGTACCTGGTGTGATTGTGATAGGGCTGTAACCTTGACTCGTGCGACATTCTTCTTCTCTAAAAGGAAAAAACATATTACATACAGTATATTGGTTTGATATACACTAGTTACCCAAATCTGTTTCTAAACTACTGCCAAATGTCATTTTTTTTCTTGTCAAAATCAACAGAACAAATGGTTTATAGTCTGTTCTGAGCATAACAAGACCCATATAATGCAATATAAAATGTTCTCTTTTATAAACAATATATTAAGCAGTAATTCTCATTTTTTACATTTCAGAATACTCACAGGCCTGTGTCCTTTCCTTCAGCTTACTTCATGTGTTTGTGTTGTCACTTGGTAACTGTGGCTTCCCTGAGCAGAGTGTGCCTGCCTGCTAGTGTGATTTGTCCACACAGTAATGTGAGAATGAGGCATTGTATTCCTAGGTAAGCAGCTTAATTCAGCAAACCAAGTGTGAACGTTACTTTTAGTTAAACTCTTAGAAATGTAGCTGACTAACTGACCAGTTCTCAAACAGCAAATTATCAAGGCAATAGCTTTCAAAACACACCAAGGTCAAAAGGCAGCTGCACTTGTTTGCCAAAGGCAACTAAAAAGTCCAGCAGCCTTTAAGTTAGTTATTTTAGTTGTTCTGACCTGGATGGATGATTAATTGATACAACATAAAAAATTGGTTTAGATTTCTCATTAATTAAGGGTCTATTTTTCACATTTACAAGTACAAGAATCACACCCTCCTGGGGTAGTCCTAATGCGGCTGAATGTGGCTAATTACAGATTACAAACATAAGTTATTGATTAAGTAGCATATCAGCATTTCATTGAAACTTTTGAATCCACATTCAAATCAATGAAAAAACTAGAACAAACCAAAACATTTTGCCCACAAACAGTTGAATTTGTTCCATTCTGCTGTACTGAGAGTAGCCGTGCTTTAACTTAAATAAACTAAATCTCAGACTCATTAGTAACATTTCAAGGTGAAAAAAGTGAATAGAAACCCTTAAAAAAACATTTTAAAGGCGTGTGAGTCAAGCATTAGGCTATAATTACTTCATTGAACAGTACTAAGAGGTTGGATCAGGAAGGTGCGGCAGAAGTTGGCTGAGGCTGGAAAACAGAATATGTGATTATTTGAACTTGGCACTGGCAGTAAGGAAATATTGGCCATATTATTAAAAGCATCAGCATCGTATCCCATCCCTCTGCTATTTCATTTCACGCAATATAACTCGCTATCCACTGAACATTCAGCTTTTATCTGATCGAATGAATTGTAAGTGGCACGGTTCACTGCCTAGAGTGAAAACGGCCATATAATGTTTCATTTAACCAAGAACTAACCCACATTATCATACATCATAAGAAGAAAAAAAACTGAATTATGTGAAATTGCAGTAAGTAAAAAAAATATGATTATGAGTTTTTAAGTGTCTGTTTGTAGGTGTGTGCGTGCATAGCCACACACACTGTGAATTAGTGTCGCGTCAACAGGACCAGGATCATTAAGAGGAAAGGCCTGTGCACTGCAGACTCATCAGTTATCTACACTAGCCCAATAGAAAAGCCGATGGTAGCTGAAAGGAATTGTTTGGCTCACATACTCATATCTCCATCTACTTAACTGAAAAGAAGGGTTCAGGGCAGTTGTTGCTGCCAGTGCCCTCCTGGTTGTAATTAAAGTGTTTAATTTTGTAAGATGGATAACATATCAAGCAAAGTGATCCTGAGCTACAACATAACTCGTTATTGGCTTCTCATCCAATGTTTGATATGCATCCATAACTATAGCCTAACAAAAAAACCTTGATGCTTCTAAAGAGGTCAATGTTGCTATTACTCACCACACACCATTGAAGGCTGATTATTATTTTCTCATTATTAGAGGGTCAAGGCTAAGAGCTTGAAACAGAGCGCATTAACATCCTCATCATCACTCCTACAGGTGATAGCAAGGTCATATCACCGTATCTTGCATGAATGAATGTCCATGCAAGCACCATACAAGGCCCTTGACTCTCAGTTCCTGTGTGCAGTGGGATGAAGTCCATCCAGTTATAGCATTCACCATTGTAATTTACTCGCTCAAAGTAAAATTTAATCAGCCCTGTTTGCAGATAAAAGGTCATTTATGTGACCTCTCCCATGTGTGTACATGTGCACTACAGAGAGTTAGATGGAGAGGGGTATTAATTCTTGTAATTATTGTGTCTGTGTGTTTGTTTATGTGGAAGTGGGAACAGTGTTCACCAGGGGGACGGAACAGGCCAGCACTGAAACAAGGGCCAGAGGGGAAGACGTAATGAGTTATTATATACTCCGCTCAGCATCTAAAAAGAGAAGAGGCTGCTCAGCGCTGCCTGCTCGCTGCTGCATGTGGGTGATAACATTCACTGAGGCCTGACCCATTTGATGGGGAGAACATATCCAGACCTGGCTACAGTGCAGGGACATCCACATGACACAGCAGAGAACCAGACTTCACTAAGGTTTCAGTCACCTCTGGATTTACTAAGGTCACCGTATTAAAAGAGCAAATCTTGTAGCTGTAAATCACCATGAACAAACAAAAAAATATTAAACTACAAAAAGGTTAAACTCATATGGGGGAGATCCACTGCTGAATTATACACATCTCCAAGAGGCATTGGGGGGGGGGTTGCGTTATGCAATCACCAGCATACAGATTATCCAGTCAAGTGACATGGTTGGCCAGAGGGAGGCGTGGTGCAGCATCGTCCTTCATTTGAATATAACAATTAATGGGGAAGTTTGACTAAACCTTGGTAAAGCACAGTGGACAGAGCAGGGACGCCAACAACCAAGCGCAGCATTTACCAAGCATTTTTATGTGATCTTGCAGAAGTGATTGCATGAGCTCCAACTTCACCACTGAGGTGAAATAAATCTTCAGTCGATGAGGATATTGCTTGCCGTCAAACAAGCGTGCTGCACAGTGTGTGACATAAAATTTACTGTGCTGCCTGCCTGCATAGGCATTCTACCAGGTTCGTTGGGAGACTAACACCCCTTTCATCATCACACTGTGCGTCTCCTTCTTGGCGCTCTAAACTGATCAGTGGAAGTGCTCCCGAGCCGCAGCAGCCCAACTGTGACATCCTTTCACTATTCAGAGGGTGCTCAGGCTGGCTGGCTGCTGCACAGGCACCATGGAACAAAAATCACCCAAGGATGAAGGCACCGCCAAGGGACAGGAGTCTCTGTCCTACCAGCGAAGGATGTGGAAGAATTTCCAAGAGAAAACCAAGCCTTGGCTGAGTCCTAAACTGGGATCGGAGCGTCGGGGTGCCGGGGGCGCGGAGGGCAGCAAAAAGGAATCGGGGTTATGGATGTTTAAGAGAAAAAAGAAACAGTTGGACCGGGTGTTTTCGTCGTCACAGCCGAATCTGTGCTCGACCCCGGCGCCTTTTGAAGGAGAGAAGCCCCTTGGAAGCGACGCGGTCCCCGGCACCAGCAGCGACGGGCAGCCTCTGCTACAACCCCTTGGCGCAGCTTCTGGAGCCACGGGGAGCAAACCCGAGCTGACGGCGCACGGAAGCCCAAAACTCGCCGTATCCCAACTGATCACGTACCAGCAGAAGAGCTCCTCTCTCGGCTCGGCGTGCTTCGAGAAACTGGTGGTGGAACCGGCCGCGGTAAATGTGAGAGAAGAGGAGGAGCAGCTGCGTAAAAACGCAAGTGATTCTGTGAGTAAAGAGCATGTGGCAAAACACGCATCTGATCAAATGTATTTTACTACCAAGCAAAGCTGTTGCACAAATTAACACCCTGAACGAAAGCGTGCTGGACTACTACGTCCTGGAAATTAAATGAAGTTTCATGATGGTGGTGCTGCGACGTGCTCACTGCTTGTATCATGTGATGCGCTCATCGATTTGCCAGTCCAGTGCTTTCTTTACTCTGTCCTGTAGCTTGTAGGGCTGTATGTGCCAGAGGACTACCACCAATGCCAGTACAGGCCTATGTGATCATCACATATAAAAAGCTTATATCACTGCTTGGTTTGGTAGTATATTACCACCACAGTCACTATATCCTGATTATTTCAATTAGAGACCCCCTGATAGGATTTCTGCAGACTACATGCTCTGATGTCAGTAACAACCTCCCTTCAGCCTGCTCAGATCCTTTTCTTCCAGTCCAGGGATCGTCCCCTAGCTTCACAGTCCATCTGTCACAGTGTCCTTGCCTCCAGACAGAGCCTGCAACTAGCCCATGCATGCCCAATGGTTTATCATATATTCCCTTTTTATGAAAAGTGGCCAGTTGGCAAATGGTTTGCAGGCACACCACCAGCAGTTTTGGAGATTGATGGCAATTATATTCCCACACAACTCAACATGCTGAGTCAGAGTGCCCGAGGAGAAACTGTATCAAAGGGATATGTCAGTTAGAGTAAGATATCATGAGGGATACATTCAAAAAATGACAAATGACAGCCCAAAAAGTTCTCTGATGAGAGTAATAACTAAGTAATACATCTCTAAGGTCATGTCTGAACCCACGCCTTGTCTCCTAGTAGTCCAATTCACTAGTCCTGCAGTAGGTCATGTCATTTCAGGCAGACTGTTCTGATATTTAATAGTACTGTCTATAGAAATAACATTGAAGATACAGCATGCTCATAAGTGCATTCTGTTTCAATGTCAGCAGTTAATGCAAAGCTTTTCATTTCACCACTCTTGAAGTGTTCAGGGCTGCTGCTCCTGAGCACCATCCAGATCGCTGTCTAAATGTGATTTAGCATATAAGTATACTGCTCCCCACTGAAGTTGGGGCCAAATATCTCTTATGCATTAGATGTCTAGGAGAAGTGCAGTGCACTCAGCAGAAGAAGTAAAGGAAAGCAAGTATTTATGACTTCAATGAAATTGATCTTGTAGCTTCATCACAGCACTTATCAGGTCAGTTACATAATACACAGAGACATCTCACTTTGCCAGATAAAGTTGTTGCAGTCAGCGTGAGCCATTAGTTACGTCCTGTTGTTACCATGTTTATCCAAGCTTCTGTTGTACATTTGTCAGATTTTCCACATAGCTGGAATGGGGAGAGCAGTGGTCAACACTACTTACAGTGACAGCTTCATCTTCTCATCTTCTATATTAGTCATTTGTTGTTACTCTCAGTATATGCAGGTATAGTCACAGATGTAAATAAATACAGTATGATCTTAATCTATTATGTAATGAGATTATAAGAAAAATAAATAAGAAAAGATGGCATGAGATGATGGGTGGTGAGAGGAAATAAAGGGGATGAAGACAGATCAGACAGGGTTAGAGGTAATGAGAGGTGATGAGGGGATGAGATGAGGTCAAATAATAAGATGAGAGATGAAGCGATGTGTGATAAGAGAAGATTAAGATTAGAGGAGAAGAAGTGAAAAGAGCATAGATTAGAGCAGGTGAGATGAAATAAGACATGCTTTATTAATAGGCCTACTTGAGGGAAAATCAAGCATTAGAGGACAAAGAAATCAGATAATCAAGCTAATGTCTATGGTTGGTGCATTTTTGCACGTGCATTTTTGTGCATGCACGTTGGTTGCATTTATTTGCATGTGCATATTGACGATGCAGTTACAGTATGTGCTGCCTAAACACTTTCCTAACCCAACAGGGTGTATAACTCAGTCACTCACTTCTGCAGTCATCCACAAATCCAGCATTAGGTGGGTGTATACAACTTCTCATTACTAAAATGAGAGCATAAAGCTCCAAGCCACAATTTCTTAAATGAAATAAAAATATATGCACATAACAAGCAAAATGCCTTTTCACATTTTGATTTGGATACTAAGTGATGGAAGGGATTAATGCCAAGTTCTGGAAGTAATTTCATTATTGACTAAATGCCGTGAAGAAATAAGCACATTTCCCTTTTGCTACTTGCAGTGCAGGTCTAACTACAGTTAGATTTAATATTTGTGTTTTTTATTTTTTTATTTTAAATTATAAGAATCGTCTCCCTGATGTTAAGTTCCAGTCCCCTTTGCACATGAGAGAGATGAGTTATGGTACTGTATTCATCATGTTCTACCTCATTGTAATTGTAAGGATGTATCCCTTCTTGTTCTCTTCCTCTATTTTTAGGCTAATAAGATGGCATTAGGTCAGTGTGTGGGGACAGAGCTGGTTCAAGTCCAGTCAGTAGACTGTGTGTGTCGACTGGCACATGGAAAACCCTTGAGCAAGGCACTGAACCCCTAACTGGTGTCTGACTATATATGTGGCAGCCCCCTCACTCTAACTCTATATGTCTATGGACCAGATTATCTCCAGTGCTTGTGCCAATGGAGCTAAACTTACTCGATTTCACACTCTTCTGTCCTTCTCTGGTGTGGTTAGCTCTCTAACCTTCAGTCTTGGGCAGAGTTGCCCTTCTATCATTACCTGACTGACCTGCTGGAAGCCTGTGTCAGGTACATTACTTTAAACATAATATGGAGAGGGGACAGCTTTATTTTTGATGTGGATACTTTACTCTGGACTTGCAATAACAAAGAATTATACAGCATCTGAATTCCAATGAGATAATACACATGCATTCTCTATCTATAATATCTAGAACCCCATGTTTACTGAGTGGGGAATCAATTTAAATAACTGGAAAAATAACTTTTCCTAAAAATTGCCTTATGAATTCTGCAATACTGCCGTCTCTGTGGCATGGATTTTAGAAAAGTAAGCCAACTGGAGCTGTACTCGCATCTATTTATTGCCACACAGCCTACCTTGTTTAGTGCGATACAGGTTTCTACTTTCCCTTAGGCTGTTTTTCTTATTTTAGGCTTTTGCAACTCAAATGAGTTTGACCTCATTAACTAAACATGTTACTTTATCAGCCTGTTAAGCAAACAATCCCCAGTTTCACTCTGAATCAATCCATTTTCAATTTGCTATACACTGGAAGACATTGCATTCTGCATCCATTATTTATTAGGGTAGAAACACCTAAAATCTAAAGAATCGCTTTCCAAATTTAAGTGATTTGCTGATGATAAATAATAGAAAAAGATACTTCTATAAACTGGTTATATTTGGTCAATGTAGTAATCATTTCGGGTATTGATTTGGGTCATTTTCATTTCTATTAAAATATTAAACATAATATAAAGGGTTATACAATCAAAATAAGTGTGCGACATTAGACCAATTTTTTAAACAGAAATGTTCATTGATAAGGGCAAGTTAGCGTGAATATATTGCGGTATTGTGTCATTTAGACAGTCATTTATTAATTTATTGATGGTCCCTTATGGTCCAGCTGTTAAGCGCGTGGGCTGGGAGGTGAGCCAACTATGTGCATCGTCAACGCGGTCAGGAAGTAGTTACGCACCTGAATTGATTAGCCTAATTATCTAGCAGCAAAAATTTACATTTTGAATTTTTTTACTCATGACTTCGTTTACACCGCCAGCACGTAGTCCAGCTACAACCAGTAAATACTCGGGTCGAGGTAGTTGGCGGAGTTCAGAGGTCAATGAGGCTTGCTAATTGTTAGCCCGCCTTCCCCACTGGACGCTTCTGCTGCAAACTCCAGTCTGGACCATTGACAGTTTATGGCTGGGACTTTAAACCGAAAGCGGAAAGCGTCTGTGAGTGCAGAATACTTTCCAAAAGCAGACACTGGTTATAAAGTCTAGGTATTTGTTGCATACATAGTATTTCACCCGCCATTACTTTCATAGCTTCACTCAATGTGTGGCTGTGAAAATGCGTTTACTATGGACATGTTTATCACCAACCATCGAGAGGCCAGGCTCCATGCCCAGACCCTTTGAGAGAGGCCCTGGAAAGTGCTGTAATGATCACCCTGAGACGATTCAACTTCGACATTATTCAATGTGAGTAAAGCTTTGCCATTATTTCCTTGACCAGCATTGTGCTTCTGGTGCTGCACTCATTCATGGGCTTGCTTTCCTATATTTTGTGATTTGTAGTATAGCTGTCCATGGTATTGAATTGTGGTTGTAATAAGACAGCTTGTAGGGCAGCATCCCAGCCTAGTTGCCTACTTGAATGGGATCCTTGTAGAAACTTTTCTTTATTATCTCCAGTCAGTTTAGTATTTATCTTTGTCTCCATGTTTTACCATAGAGACATTTTGTTTGAGTGTTTGCAGTGTATTTTCTACATCTGTTTGAATGAAAAAGAAGTGTTTTAGGCTATCAGATGAAAAAAATCTCAGTCTCCATATTTTTTGGTGTTACTCTGACACTCAGTACTCTGACACCAGTTCTCAGTCATGTCTTATTTCTTCCTTCTCCTCTGCTCATATGGAGTGCTTTAAAATATTTACAACTCATGAACTAGGGAAGTAGGTTTTTGTGTCACAGAGACCATATGCTGGCATAGCTAATGCTAAATATATCAGATGTAAAACGTTTAGTGTTACATTAGATGTTGCTTGATTTCGTCTGGAAAGGCGAGACATTTGATCCAATTGATTTGTTTACTTTTCTGAAAGAATAGCTCATCCATGAAATATAGGTTACTGATCTCAGTACATGTTGCACATCAGATGTAATGATGATGTAAATTTGCCATGACTTTAGTTATCGCTCTCTTTTCATAATACAGTGAAATGAGCAAGGTTTGGATGTCCTGGAGGAAGAGGTGCCTTACTTGGGGCTGTTGTCTGAGTTGTGTTGTGAGAACAGCATCATGGCCACTTGGAAACA